CTGTGGTCCAGTCAAGGAACAGTTCACCCATAAATGAAAATTTGCTGAAAATCTACTCACTCTCCGGCCATCCAAGATGTAGAGGAGTTTGTTTCTTAATTGGAACAGATTTGGAGAAATTTAGCATTGCATCACTTGGTCACCAATGGATCCTCTGCAGTGAATGGGTACCGTCAGAATGAGAGTCCAAACAGCTGATAAAAACATCATAATAATTCACAAGTCCTCACAAGTAATCGACACATATTCAGTCCATCAATTAATGTCTTGTGAAATGAAAAGTTGCATGTTTGTAAGAAACAAATCCATCATGAAGGTGTATTAACTTTAAAACAGTCACTTCTGGCCAGAGTTTCCATAATCCATAATAACACTTTCTCCAGTGAAAAGTCCATTCTCTGTTGTCCTCTTACATTAAAATCCTTATATATTTGTTTAGAATTGTTTTGGACAGTTTTCACGTGTAAACAGTGCTTGGTCTGTGCATATTTCTCTCTTAATTCAGATGAGATTACTCCCCCCTTGCTTTCTTTCTCTCCCTCTCGCTCCGTCCCTCTATCAAATCTCCTTCTCTTCACTGTCAAAGGTAAGAATATGCAGTGATAGCAGGGCTAGCTGTCAAGTGCTTCATTTAGAGATTGTCATGTGAAATTGTCCAGAGAGGCCTCTGTGATGTAACTGCAGAGATGAGACGTTTCCCACCAAGTCGGTTTCATGATTTATAAAGTAAATTTTAAAGATTATTTACATCAAAAGCGCACAAAAGTGCGATATTTACCTCACAAGATCAATTCAGATTAGTCTTACAACACAAAAGGTCCGTACACGTTCTGCTGTTATTGGAACAGTGACATCTACTGGCACGTCTTCAAAACAAATGCAACACCAGACAAAATATGGAACAAAGGTCATTTTCATAGAGCGGTTGGACACTTTTTAACACACCCACACACAATTAATTCCACCCACAAGCACAGCTAAATTTGCGGTAATAAAACAGTCGGTTTTAAAATAAACTCAAGTTATATAACAACAGGAACATGTAAGAACCCCCCCCCCCCCCCCCCCCCCCCACTGGAGAAAGCAATATTATGAATAGAAGACTCTTATTTCAGCTGAAAGCACTGGTTTGAATTTAAAAACATCTTAATGATGGATTTGTTTATTATAAACATGCATATTTTTGCTTCAAGATGTTAATTGATGGACTGGAGCATGTGGATTACTTGTGAATTATTGTGATGTTTTTTTCAGCTGTCTGGACTCATTCTGATGGCACCCATTCACTACAGAGGATACATTGGTGAGCGAGTGATGTAATGTTAAATTTTCCAAATCTGTTATGACGAAGAAACAAACTCATCTACATCTTGGATGTTGAGGGTGAATACATTTTAGGAAGTTTTAATTTTGGGTTGAACTACTCCTTTAACGAGTGGAATGGTACAGTTATGGATGAAGCAGTTTTTTTTTAAAGAACACAACCAAACAAAAATAAAAGATTCCCTTTAATGGAAGTTGTTTGTTTTGGATTTGCTAAATCAGAGGCCCAGTGTTTTTCACCACTAAGGATTCTACAGCTTTCTTTCCTTCCTCTGTGTCCTGTCCAGCACTTATAAATGTGTTTTTCTCAAAATTACTCAAATGAGAGGTCAAATCAGAATTTGGGGTGACTTCAGTTCAGCTACTCATTAATAAATTATTTTTCATTTTTAGTTCATTATAAATGACTTTTATCTGGGAATAACAGTTGTAAGCCATTAGAAAATATTTTTTTCTCCTGGCTAGATTCAAGTATGCATTGAGAAACAGAGGATCAATAAATAGTATTTTGAGCTCAGGTTGCTTATATTGAGCATAAACTGTGTATAAATAATTTAGTATTTAAAACAGAAACAAAATAGTTAATCTACTTTAGTAATGCAACTGAAAAATAGTATTTAATGTTTAAATATTTTTTTCGTTATTTTAATTGTTAACTAAAACACTTTACATAAATGTCTTCCTGAGTAACACTCTTTAAACATGTTAATGGTACTAATTTAATAATCAAATAATAAATAGCATAAAATAAAATGTCAGTCTTCTAAATCCACAATTTATTTTAATATAAATCCTTTAAGGAATTCACTAAATATCCTGATTCAAAGTTCAATTGATCCCTGCTTAAGTATTTTGGATGTGTCTGAAGCGATTTGTGCGACTGAAAGTGTGCTTATCATTTGGACTATGATTTTCTTTATTATACAAATAATATACAAATGCTTGATTATACAAAAATATACAAATACTTTGATATAGATATACGTGCTATTGGCATTTTATTCAAGAAAGTATCAAAGTATGTTTCTTGGTGTACAAAGCTTATTTGAAAATATTTTTGGTGATGAGGTTTTGCAAAGCATATTTAAGCTTGTTCATATTTAACACTGAATGAATCAGAGTTAATGGTGCTATTTGTTAGATTAATGAAAAAAGGAAAAGAAACTTGAGAAACGTTAAGAGCGACAAAGTGTGTGTATGTGTAGTCATGTGAATTCAGCATAGCATTGCATTAAGGAGCTTTAACATTTTTTTAAATTTTAATATTTATCATATTCAGTTCACTTGTATATTGTAAACAGGAATTGTAATGAATTATTACATATAAAAGCTCTCCAATGCCAAATCATCTGAGGAATTAGGAGTGTAGTAGCAACAACACTTCCTCTAAAGAAAATATGAAAACGGGCATTTATTTAATCTGCTTTGTCGCAGATCCACTGCAGTCAGTCAGGTGTATATTTCTTGTCTTTTTTTTCTGTACTAAACGAATTAAAGCAGAATTGGCTAAAAGTGTGATTTATGTGTGCATATGAATCACACGTACTGTTTTGTGCTTTCATAATTGAAAAATAATAGTTTAGTGCAGAAGTTAATAGTTTCCTTTTTTTTGACTGCAATGTTTAATAGCTCGAGTACTGTATAATTGAAAATGCTGTAATGGTTTTTGTCAATATATATATAAAAAATGAATATTTCTGTATTGTATAGAATCCCAATACATCTCAGTTCTCTTATGTACAGATTTTAATTGGCCAAATTATACTCTTTTTTTCTTGTTAAACACTCCATCAGTCCATAATTAAAGATTGTGTTTGGATGTGTACTAGTAACATTGCACTACTTGTATAAATCATCTTTTGGATGAAATTAATATGTAGCTCTAGTTTTATTTATGGCATGTATTTGTACCAAAACTTTGCTGAAATACAGTGTTGTAGTAATCACTGCATGTGTGGAAGTTCTCTGTGTGCTGAATGTAATTTCAAACTCTAAATCTCCCCCCTAGGATGAGACAATATAGTTTACATTGATGTACTGTGATGTTGAATAATGAAGGATAAAAATAATGAAAAAAATAATGAAGGACACAACGTGAGCTGCTGCTGAAAAAGTGCATGATCCAAGTTGTCTTAAAAATGAGAGGCAAACTCTAAATCTCCCCCCTAGGATGAGACAATATAGTTTACATTGATGTACTGTGATGTTGAATAATGAAGGATAAAATAATGAAAAAAATAATGAAGGACACAACGTGAGCTGCTGCTGGAAAAGTGCATGATCCAAGTTGTCTTAAAAATGAGAGGTGCTTTAAACTAATTCATAAAGCTAAGTCCTAAGTCATGACTACTTCAGGCTGACCACAAGATGTCAGGCCAGAGTCTCTTTTGAATACCTAATGCAAATGTTTTTGTGTGGATTTTCACTATGAGTTTGGCTTTGAAAAGTCTCTAAAACATTAGTTTATAAAATTCACTCCTTTTTCTAGTAGGTGGTGATCTCATAGCAAAATCATTTAGTTCAAACTGGATGTGGCATTACTGGAACGTGACCTCATGTTCAAAGGCCCCAGTGCCACCTTTTCTAACTAAATACTACAACCTGGAACTTACAGTGAAACAGTAAAAAATAAAAACCTTTTTTGGAAGGCTGTCTGTGAAAGAAAGGAAAAGGAACTCTCGATAGTGTTCTGGGTGGCTGCTACACTTTTAAAAATAAAGGTTCTTTACTGGCATCTATGGTTCCATAAAGAATTTTAACATCTGTAGAAACTTTAAGTTGTTGCTAGGGTGTTCTGCATGGTTGCTAGAGTATTTATAGGTGGTTGCTTGACTGTTCTGGTTGGTTGCTAAATAGTTACTTACTAGCCAAAGTCAAAAAGGCCTACCACTATGATATTCTTCAATTCTTCTAATGGTTTCTCTATGGCATCACTGTGCAAACCCTTTGGAATCTTAATTTTTTAAGAGTGTAGATGGTTGCTTACTAGCCCATATTTAAAAGAGCCAAATCCCATAAATTATATTCTGGTCTCAAAATATGGTTTGAGGGGTTTAAGATCCATATGAACAAAAGTGATACTTAATAATGTGTCTTCTACTGCAAAGATTTTTTTGGGCTTTGTTTTATAATGCATATCACACCTGTCACTATATTTTTCATCAGTGCTTTGAAACTTAATTGAGAATTCATTAATAATTAAATTGATTAATTAATCTCTACAGTGCGAATAGAAGATGTTCCCAACAGCACAAATGCTTATTATACTTCTTGAGTTAACACTTCAGGAAAACACACATTATTCTCTTCATTCAGAATCAATTAAGTTTATAAAAGCTTTTATTATTCGCTTCTGCCATGGCGTGTGTGCTTCAGAGCGATGGAGACGCACACCCAGGCATTTCTCTGTTGTATTTGTTTTAGATTAGCTGAACAAACCCGGATCCATTCAGTCTAATGCTTTTATTGTAGCCCTCTTTGTCAAGTCGCAATTTGTTCATTTGCGTTATCTAAATGAGAGTGTTTCCCATTAGTGTGGGACCAGAAGATTGTAAATGCTTTATGACATCACAATCCACTATCACCCAGCAACCTGGGCAGCTGTCAGTCAACCGTACGAGTGGAAGGAGAGTTTAAAAAGAGCGCTTGGGATTTCCAAGGGTCCAGAACCAGAACCACAGCTACGAAGAGACACTCCGTGAGCTGAAAACAGAGGTTTGAGATGAGACTGTGTGAGCTGCCGTGTTATTTGGCCTTGTTGGGTCTGTCCTTTGTGCTATGTGGTCGCAGTGCTAATTCACAGCTAGAACCGGACCTGGACTTCCACCATCGCAGACTTCTGCAGAGAGCAAGAGCGACTGGACAGGCTACACAGGTGAGTCTCAAACGAACATGAACAAAATATGGGGCTTGTATTTATCACCTGGATTCTGGTTTTCCATTGTCTGCATGTTCAAAGCTGCCAAGCTCACATTCAACTAACTATCAATTCCAGTTATGAATAAAGGATTGTCCCTCCAAAATTTGTAATTTACTCACCCTCATGTCACTCCAAACAGGTATAGACCAAATTTCTTCTGTGGAATACAAAAGAAGCATTTCGACTGTTTTTGTCCGCACATTCAATGTCAATCGAGTTCTAAACAACGTTGGACCCCATTGATTTTCATTGTATGGACAAAAATAAATAAATCATCTTTTGTCTTCTGCAGAAGAACTAATTTCAATATAATTTTAGAACGAGGTGAGGGTGAGTAAACAATGACAATTTTACTTTTTTGGGTGAACTATTCCTTTAAACAAAGGGATTAAACGTATTTCCGTTTCAGGTTGCTGAAATGCTCGGCTCAGTTTATTTATTGCTTTTAATAAATGTTTAAATTGGAAATTACTACAACCCCCATCTAATTCTATAGGAAGACATCATTACTTCCAGTGCCTCTCTCTCCTTCACGTAGCCCACACACATTTCTAAATGACCCTCTGTTTTTCTCATTTACGTCTTGGCAAGTAAATGCATTATCTTTTACTATAAAGGAACTCTGAGTTAATGGAATGCATTTAGTTCTAATCAAACACACATTCCCCTATAAATACAAAATGGCTTTTCTCTTTTAGCCTCGGTTACCTCATGTATACGTTGATCTAAATGAACGTGCACCATTAGCTTGACTAGACACTGTTTATTCTCCAAATAAAAGGGGGGGATTTAACTGAAATGTTGATCCCATCATATGCGTTTTAACATTTTTCTCAGGACTGGACAAAGAAAGACGTTGAGGAACTCCTTTCCCTGCTTTCCATGCCCGAAATGGAGATGCGCGAGAATGACCTTTCAACAGCAGGCGAAAGCGAGGACCTGCGTGTGGAGCTAGAACGTTCAGCAGAAAGTTCAAACCACCTGCCCGCTCGGGAACGCAAAGCGGGATGCAAAAACGTCTACTGGAAGGGCCTCACTTCCTGCTGAGGCCCTCACTTGAAGTTAATTAACACCCTCTCCGATCTCTTGCTAAGATAACTGCTGTGGTCAAACCACAAGTTAATTGGTTCAGTCAGTCAATCGATTGATTGTAAGTTAATAAAACACAAAATAAAAGAACAATTAAAATAAAAGAGCATTTTGTTGTGGATGATGTGAATAAGATGGGTGTATAGCCTACATTTATAATGCTATCTTTTCTCTGGACTACATTTGTGAGGGAACATTAACATTAATGATGTGTTTGTGTGATTGTTTATGTAATGTCACAATGGTGATTAGTGGTAGTTAACACGCATTAGGGATTAAACATGGTGAGAGGCACGACACGCCAATATGATTAAGAATGACAGAAGAGCGAGAACGTCGAAAAACATTCAGTTCTGAATGTTTGTGGACAACCCCATTCACCTTTCTGCCATTAAAAGCCATGTGCGCATCTTCAGACGAGCACGCATGACTGACGGAACATCTATGAAGGGAACAAATAACTCAAGCATCATTTGCACTCTCGGTCTTTCAGGCACACACTCCAGTTTGATGTGTTCTTCATTAGCGTGTTATTGGCTGTGAAAACAGACACTGCTCCATGACTCGAGCTCCGTCCCTTGAGGCTCGCGCACGAAGGCACAGACAGGGTGGAAAAGGATGTTAGTCAGTTGTAATTGTTATTTAATTATGGTCTTGAAAGCACCGCAAATATTTCGACAGATCTGGACTGTTTGATTAGCAAGCCTGAGAAGAGACTTCGTCAGGCATTATGAACGGTTCTCTGGTGCTGTGTTTACCGAGTAGACATTTTCACTGTGTGTGTGTGTGTGTGTTTACACACACTCACAGTTATAATTTTGACGAGCTTGCATCGGATAACCATATGTGCGTATAGGTGTGTTTGTGTGACATTTTCTATTTTTACTTGTTTGGGGAAAATGAGTATGAATGTTCTCATAAGAATAATAATAATAATTAAAAAAATATCTCTTTAATATGTTACGTTCTCCTTGTGAAAATGACTTTAAATTGAGATCAAATGAGACTTTTGTTGAAGTATCTTGCTTCTCAGATGTTTCTCCTAAAGGACCACAGAAATCTTAATAAAGTCCCAAACTGGGCTCAGATACTATAATCTGCAATCAAATGTCTGAGATTCGACATAAACCTAAATAATTCCCGTTAAATTCTAATTTATTTGTTTAAAAAAACGAATACATGTAGGCTATATTTTATGTGATATTGTTAAATATATACAGTGGGTACGGAAAGTATTCAGACCCCCTTAAATTTTATTTTACCGAGGAATTTACCAATTAATTCTTTAAAAATCCTACAATGTGATTTTTTTGGATTTTTTTTTCTAATTTTGTCTCTCATAGTTGAGGTATACTTATGATGAAAATTACAGGCCTCTCTCATCTTTTTAAGTGGGAGAACTTGCACAATTGGTGGCTGACTAAATACTTTTTTGCCCCACTGTATATATATATATATATATTTTTTTTTTTAAAACCTCCAGAGCTACAAAAGGTGCAATTTTCAGCTGGATAGGAAGGAAAGATTAGCAATAATATCTCCCTCATGCACACATATACCCGCAAAAAGATTTTCCATGCTATTCCCTCATAATTCCCTTCATCCAGCTAAAACAAAACACAAATATCTCACAATCCCTGTTATGAGGAAAACAATAGGCCTAAAACATGAATTGAGTGTATCTTCACCGTCCACACAGCTCTAGCAAAGCCAGTGGCATGTCACGATCTCTGAACAAAAGACTCATTACTGTTGTTCACGGTCAAGGAAAGCAGGCACACAGCCAAAGTTATTTAAATTCATTGCAGTGCAGCTTATTTATATATATATATATATATATA